ATACCGGCGTGGAAGGGTGCGTGCTCAGAAGTTATGGGAAGCTTTCCCAAAAAAAGCGAGGGAAGATAATAAAATTAGCAGCCCAGCTCTAGTTCTCTGGAGGTGCAAGGGAGACGCTTGCCTCCAGAGGTACCCGCGATGCCGCCTCGCCCAAAGAAAGCGCAGAGTAAGTGATGAGGGTCAAAGCGTGCAGAGTGCTACGAGTTAGCTAGGAAACCTGCGGAGGAGAGGGGCAATCCGCTCCTCCCATGCAGTCTTCTACAGGAGAGGCTTTGGTTTTGACAGCAGAACGCCAGAAGTGCCTGGTTTATCCCGCTATCCTCTTCCCTCACCAAGGAAATCTTCGTCAGGGACTGCTGAGCCTGCCTGCTCCTGAGGAAAAGTCACCACCACCTTAATAAAAAAACATACCTTTCCTTAGAGCTTATGGAGCTTACTGTCCAAAATTCAAGAGCGACACTGTGAGTTACAGTGCTTGTAGCATAGCTGTCAACTAAACCTCTCAGTCCTGATTTTTCTCCCTAGCTTGCCCTGGTTTCTACTCAACTTCCCTTCCTGCACCAGAGAGGAGCCCCAGGGAGGGATTTCATAGCAGTAGATTGTCCAGAATTCGTTGATTTCCTAAGCCAGTGAATATCTGAATAATATCCACAAAGAAGCTCAAAATGCATCAGCTGGAGCATTTCACAGTGTGGTTCTGACAGTTATTTGAAAGTCTGAACACAGTTACCTATGTGCCATTTTCTCTGCCGCTAAAGAAATTGAGTAATTTTTACCTGTTAATCAGTAGTTAAGTTTTCAAGCTCTTCTGCAAGGTTCATATATTTTTGCACTTTCTCTGAGCATATCAGCCAGTATGGAAGGGTTACTCTAATGTGACATCCACAACAAAAGCCACGGCATAGAAACAAACTAAACTAAATTCTGCCTTTAAAGAAACACGCTTCAAGTAATGCAAGGCTAAATTCAAGCAACAGGCTGTAAGTAGATGCGAGGATAACAATCCTATTTGGAGCAACTAGAACAGAAATAGATGTCTTAAGATAAAAGGGGCTTGAAAAATAAGCCCATAGTGTAAAATGCTATAGAGGAAGCCAATAAAACTACTGCTACTTCCATCAAAATGATACTACTTCACCCTTCTACCAAAATGTGCAGGTCTAGCTTATGAATGGATAGAAATGGGATTGAAAATTAAATAAGGAATGGTCTAGACAGGCAAGAATGCCAAGTTGATTAAAACGGGGACAGGAAACAAGAATCCTGTTCTAATCCTGATTCTGCTGCATTCACTGTGTGATTAACTACTCCAAATACCCACAGCTAAACCCCCTTGTTTTAAAACAAGGATAACAGTGACTTAATTAACCCATCCATATAATTCTCCTGACAGCAGAGTACCTCTTGGAATAATACAAAATACATTGTAAACTCTAAATATTGACATGATTACCCAACCAGATCAATTATCTGCCATAGTGTGCTAAAGCACAGAATAGCTACAATAGCTGCTGCTTCGCTCTGCCTTCGGTTCCATAGTCAAGTATAACAGCAGATGTTTAACACATGAAATATGTTAGGAAATTCCATCATATTTTCCTCAGCTTAGAATTTCCATTTATACCTTTAAAACAGGGTTAGGAGCTTAGATACAAAGTAATCAATTCATTATTTAAAACATGCCATTACCTTCAGAACTGTTCTCTTTTCCTTACTGAACGGGCTCTAACTGCAATACTGTTTTACAGATCACATCTACTTCTTGTGAATATAAAAATACATGCAGCTATTGCTAATAAGTTATTTGTAATACAGATTTGTCAAGTGGAGTGACCATCTTGTCAGAATGCTACAAGATTATTCACCTGTGTTACAAAATATTTAATAGTTACATAATACTGCTGTTTAAAGTTTGGCTTTGTACCAGAATTCCTTGAGTTGTACTAAGGTTTGAAGCTAGATTTTACTTGAAGAGGTTGTAGAAGATCGTAGAATGACAAGATGATTAATGCATCGTTTGTAGTAAATTTGGCTTTATGGAGACGAATACTTTTGTCCCACTTAGCTATGAGAAGACTCACTTTTCATGTTTCTTTTCAGCTTAGGTTGTATTTAGTCCCTAACTTGCCACTGTAACTATATATTTGCTCTTAGAAACTCCTCTCCCGCGTGTGACCTCAGTAACAGCTGTTTGCCTATAGAGATTCTAAAAATGGTTACTGAAGCCTAAATGTTTCCTAAGCGTGTGGTTTGTATACCTTTGTTTACTGACATCTTAGATTGCTAAACTTAATTATATCTATGCACTGCTGACCCTGTATAAAATGTAAATGTGTGTTTTGTAAGTCTTATCTATGCTAGCAGGCAAGCATTCCATGTAAGTAATGGAGCAATTACAGCAAGTGGATGTGTTGGGGGGTTTTTTTTGCCCCTGAAGAGGAGGCTTGTTGCCTTTATCCACATGAAAACAAATGACATTAAAAAGCCCTCTTAGTCTTTCCCTGCTAATTGCTCAGTGCAACATATGAGCTGGCAAATGTTTTACTAACTGCGCTTAAGATCCCAAATGCTATGGGAAGCAAGCAAGTAATAGCAGCCTATTGAGAAGCAATACTACTACTTTCTACAGAAGTCATCTTGGCACAACAGACCCAGGGTTTGTTGTAATCAAAACTTGTTGGAGCACTGGGGGCAGGGAGTGTTTAGTGGGTGGAGGGGGGTGTTGCATGTTCTTGCTCTTCATTATTTAAGAAATTTCACACAATTTAAAGCCATGTTACTTATTTGCTAGTGCAACTTCAGAAAAGTCTAGTTTTAACCCCTTCCACATTTTTCAGTTTGTAAACATTAAACTATTCTGCTTTTTATGAGATGAGACAGTTTCACCTTCAATTAAATAGAATTGACAAGTCTGTATGTTTCCATTTGTTACTGCAAATTACAAGAGCACTAACACTAATACCAAAGTTCTTTTGCAAGGAACTCAAGTAGCTCAATAATTACAGCAACAGATTGAGGGCCAGTAACACACTGTTTCTAATCCTCTCTACGCTATTAGTGACTGACCTCATCCAAACCACTTCGTCTCACTATTTCAGTCATCTTAGCTAAGCAATGATGTGTTTTGCATTTTCCTTACCAGTCTAACCTTAACTAGCCTGCTGGGGAGGCAAATCTAGCAAGTAGGTGTGAGAGTCTCTTTCAGATACTCCCTCGTGAAAAACTTTCCATAACTTTTATTTAGATTTGTAATATTTTTTTACTACATACTTGAATGGGTCAGGAGCCTCACAAAAAGTTTCCTGGATTTATGTAATCGAGGGGTGCAATTATGAAAATATACTTCAGTGCATAAATTCAGAGCCAAGCTATGGTGGAAAGTTACATTCTGACTCGACTAACATCTTGTAGACTACACTTCCCTTCTTCCTGATTTTCATGCTGTTTTTGAAAT